TGTACACCAGGATCCACAGCAGTGACCCGCGAACACACCGAGTTATGACACTCAGGAAGTCCCAGGCAGAAATTAAATTGTCTTAGAACCCGCAACGAAATTAATCAGAAGAAAATTGGAGGAGTTGGAAATACAGTAAATCCACTTCCTTCCTTAGCAAAGCGGGAGACAAAATGAAGTAAAATAGGCAGACCCTTTTAAACAGGGAAGCAGCACGGCCACAAAATATTACGGGTCTTAGCTGAGCTATATTTGATTTCTATAATATGTATAACGCACGGAAATTCACCCTAGTTGACACAAGATCCCCATAGTATACCGTCCCAGATCACCTGCAAGCTATTCAGCATTATATTACGTTCATTATACCAAAGACTACATTCCCAGAGGATATGATGAGCAGACTGTTCATAGTGAGAGTTAGGTATTAAGCATTGACACAATGGTGACTCGACTAATTTAATTAAATACAGCTGGCTCTTAAAGTTACCATGACCAGTAAAAAATTGAGCGACACAGTGATCCACCTCAAGCCATTTCCTCGACAACCGTTCGCGAACAGATGAAAAGAACTAGCAAAGATGGCGCCCCTTGGATGATACGTCTCAGAGTTGTTGCCATTCGTCTATGAGGTCATTATAGACATCGGACTGCTGTTGAAGCAATTTTACAGCGATCCCGCGCAAAAAAAATTGCATTCCATGTTTTGTTGTCTTGAATAGTACATGGCTGCACGTCTCTGCACCTCGAGATCGACCAGAAACACACCCGCCAACACCGGCAAAGCCTCAGTGCTAACCGTCCTATATGCCTTGCACAAGAATATCAGTGCAAGTCGTTGGCCTTGTAACAGTTTGCGACAGACAGCGCCTACGGTCGCCCTATCGGCCCATACAGGTGCATCATAGCACATAGAACCTAAATAAGTAGCTTAATGTATTAAGTGATAGACCCCTGCAGTTGATATCCTTGTCAATGCACAGAAACTCTTTTTAGACTTTGAACGGTTCTTAATTCTTATCAATTTGCACTAGTATCAGTTGAAGTCTGGTGCATTGCATTTGAAATAGGTTAGCGTGATAAGAATATAATTTACTTACCGATTTGACTGTTGACCTACTACGCCGAGTGTTGTGGGTTCAAACCCCACATGAATTATTTCTAATGCGGGAGTTGTCTTTAAAAAAAAAAAAAAAAAAAAAAAAAAAAAAAAAAAAAAAAAAAAAAAAAAAAGATTAAATGTTATGCAATCTTATTGTTAACTAGATGTCTTAACTGACTTGCCACACCATTTCACAGGACAGGAAGCCATTTCTATTATATTTTGATATAAAACTATTTTAAATTGTCAATAATTCGGACGTGCATACGGGTCATGAACTTGGTCATTTCTAAAGTCGTTATTCTAATCGTTACGTCGTATACTAGCTACAACAAGTAGGTGTTGCGTGCCTTTGTGGCCTTGTATGCGGAATCTATTAGAGGGTAATCTGTGAGTTGAGAACACTAGCATTCGACTTATGCGCAATACCTTTATGACGTCGTACAGCTGGCAATCGCTATCCTCGTCCGACTAGTGATGTTACGCTCTAACTCACTTTCACTCTAGCTTAAATATTTACCATCTTTAACAGCCAGCTACCCTTATTTGTGGCCAGATTTAATTAGGCAACCGTATATCACAATAAACAGAAAAAATAGCTTTAATTTGATATATAAATAATAAACGTACGTTATGAACGTATAAATGTTTCAAAATCATGCCTATTTACACCTGCTTAAGGGAGCAAACTACGCAGAACAAGGCAGCAGAGCTGCAGGCAGCAAGGCTGCAGAGAGAAGGGTAACATGACACAAACCCTTTTTTTTATCTTATTTTTTACGTGTGGAAACCTCTTGGGGCCGTCACCTCACCGGGGTTTGCGGCGGGTGGAATAGCGGAATTAAACCGACTAAAACCACACGGTGTGCCACTCTGCATCTGTAGTTGGAGGAAGAGAAGAAGAAGAGAAGTGCGCTGTTATTAAGACATCCGAACCCCTCCTAGCACCTGCCCGCAACCACCTACGGGTACATTATCTATTTTCGCGTCCGCGTCCGCGTGTGCAACACGTCGCCTCCTCGAGGCTGGCCGCTATGGCGGGTGGATTGGAAAACCCGTCCCGTCCACCAGCGGCCACACTCAGGGCCGTATGAGGTGGTGGTAAGCGCGCCTCCGCTGCCCGGTTCTCCGGTGACGAATTGGGTCCCAGTGGAGATTGACCTCCCGGGCCCTCTACCCCGGCTTCTTCTGCGAGATGGCGTCTTCGCAGAAGAATGCGATCGCGGTGAAACATCTGTCTCTACCGGCCATGCAGCGTATGACGGCCAGTAGCCATAGATCCACCCCGATGACTGCTATGAGGATCCAGCACTGCGGTGGCTAGCTGGGCAAATTGCCAGCGTGTGCTGAGCTGAGTACTTCCCGACGCAGCCATGCACAGAAAGGAGCTTCGTCAGCCGGAAGGAAAGGGTCCCATCTTGCCCACTCGACGACGACCGGCTGGAGCGCCTCCACAGCGGCAAAGCTAGCACGTGGAGCACCCTGCCGGGACGACCAAGGAGCCATCGTGGCTCGGCGAGCGGCCTCACGCCACTCCCGTTTCTCTACGGGTGGAGGCCGTCTGCCACTATCAGCGCGGAACTCAGCCGTCCGCCGATATACTTCGGCGAGCACTCCCGCCTCCAAATCCTACGGGGGAGTACCTGCCAATGCGCACGCCGCATCCATCAAATCGGTGCGTTAACCGCGTATGGCTCTAACCGCCAATATCCTCTGAGGGCCCCTAGGCATGTCCTATTCGGGGCGGTAAGAGCTGCCACCCACACCGGTGCACCTTACAGTTCCACCCAAATTAACTTGACGCTAACCCCATACCAACCTTTCTGGCCAGCGTTTTATTGTAAGCCAAAACCTCCTTTCTAAGGAGAGGCCTATGTCCCAAAGTGAACTATTAAAGGCTGTTGATTTGATGATGATGACAGTAATTAGAGGATATGGGTATTCTGGCGAAGCCGAAGTGGGAGCCACTCGAGTTCATGATCAACTCAATCATGTTCATATTTGCGCATGCCAAATAAAAATCGTATACAGAAATTCTGCAGTCTCTCAAGTTTATCAAATTGGTCCTCGTTCAAATCAAGATAGCTGACATTGGCATAATCGAGAAGTTAGAAGTTATTCCTGTACAAGTGAATTTGAAAAGTCACAACACTTTGAAACGAAGTCTAAAATGCTATTTTTGTATTAGTTATTTTACTTTGTTGTAAAAATTGTACATCTTATAATAAAATAGAAAAAGCTTTAAAATTTTATTTTATTTTTATTTATTAATTTAGGACAACTTACAAAACATACACTTATACATGTTTACAAACGAGTTTTACAAATATGTGCTGAATGTTGCTTGACTTATAAGTCGCCACGGCATGGTAAGGGACAGTTTCATCAAAGATTATACAGTCATATACAGAACATCATCGAAATTACAAGACATAGTGATGCATTTAAAATAATCTAAGAGGGTCTAAACGATGCAATAACTTTGCTTTTAAATTTTGGAAGACTGTTTGAGAAGATGTCTAAATCAATTTCATGATTTTTCGTCGGCTTGTAATACTGGCTTAGTAATCTATTCATAGTAGCGTTCTGACCCAAGTTGGTCTTTGAATTTATTATTCAATTTAATACAATGAATCGTCCGTGTGGTGACGGATTAAGAATACGGAGAGTCACCACCCCTATTCATCCCGATGGTGTCGTAAGAGACGACTACGGGACTAAACTACGCAGGACAACAGCACTGCAAAGAGAAGGAAAACTTGACACAAACTCTATACCAACCTGTCTGGCCAGCGTGGTGTAGTAGGCCAAAACGTCCTTTCTTAGGAGAGGCCTATGTCCAGCAGTGGACTATTAGATTAGATGATGATCATGATGAGATGAATCAACATCAGCCTATCGCTGTCCACTGCTTGACATGGGCCTCTCCCAATTCTCCGTTTGCACATTGACCGTGAATGTGGTGCATTAATATATTCTATGCCATTTGTCCCAGTCCAGAGATAGAACACGGTTAGTTCGGTCAATTTACTTCACGTTTGATTTTTATTTATTTTTTTATATAATTAAAATTTAAAAAAAAAAGACAATTCAAATCTGTTGAGAATTGATCAATTGACGTACCTCTTTTCTACAACCTCATGTGTGACAGCGTCAAAACGAAAATAGAATAGAAAAGTAAAAAGCAAAAGAGATGAATGTGTTTTTAAATTGTTTTCTTTATTCTGTTCAAAGTATTGTATTACACATTTTTTATGTTGAAAGCACTCTTGAATCTTAGTTTATTTGCTACAACAAACCCAAATCCACTGAAATTTACAACAAGATCGAATAATAAAAATATAATGAGAATAATTATTATAGTATGTTATTTTTCATAAAATTTCGTTTTAAATAATATAAATAAACGATTTTTTTTTATCGATATAACGTTATTGAGAGTGTACCAGTTTTTTTTCTAATACCAGCTTTATTGGGCCCCAATCTAACATCCCTGAGATTGCGACTCTTGTTCACTCTATGCTTATATTCTATGCAGTCCACAGACTAAAGTTGCAGAATTCAGATTTGATTTTTTGTCTGAGTTTTATATGTGGTTGATTGACTTACAAATCGAAGTTTTGCAAAATTTGTTTTACTTATTTATTGTTTTATTACAAGTCAATGCGTATCGATCAGGCAGAAAACTCTTTAAAGTATTGTTTTAGAATATTGGTTTTTTATGGTATTATACTGTGATTGTGTACGAAACTATATCCCATGTACTTATTTAGCCAATTTGCTTTTACTATCACGTATGATAAACTAGGAATTAGTCAAGAATATTTTCTAAATGAGTGTACTGTAACTTATAACTAATCACATTAGTTAAAGGAAATGAAATAAGTTAAACAATGCCATGTACGCTCCAGATCAGAGAAGAAAGGACGGTAGAGATGTTATATACCGTAGTAATTCAAGCCTTGACTTGATATATGTTGAACATCCTTCGGGTAATGGCTTACGACGTGAGTACGGTAGTCATGGTTCAATCGACGTAATCGGAGGAGTTAACGAGCGGCTACCCGCGATGGTTCATAGCTACAGTGGTGTGTCAACACCAGACAAACCAACAGGTCTCAATCGTGCTGTCGAAAGAATTACCGAAGGACTCAACACCGACCATGCCGATGGTCCACCACCTAGATCAAGTGCTAGTCCAAAACCACGACTTAAATTAAACAAGCTCTGGGGTGGTGCAGCACCCGCCTTGCCTCGACAAACCTTAGACGATGGCAGTCTTTCGACATTATCTGATGCTAATAAAAGAAAGCAGTTTGCTCATTATGACTGTCAATCACTCATGGCCAATCTGAGCTATGCTGCTGAAGTTCGTGGTGCACTGCTTAGCAGAAGACGCAACACCACTACTGGTGCATCTGCAGCATCATTACTTGCTACTCGTGGAGCGCCTCCAGGAGATGATGCAGTACCTGATACTGGTGATGGAAGATCCAATGAATTACTAGAGAGCTGTCCATTCTTCCGAAATGAATTGGGAGGTAAATATCATCCAATACAGTCTATCTGTCTATGTCTGTTACAGTTATATCCAAGAGTATGTAGCCATTATTGCAATGTTTTTATTTGCTACAAAATTACCATTGTGTCATTTGTGAACCAAGGGACATTAATTCTGGTCTCACACTTCACATCATAATTGGTAGAATGAATTATTAATCAATAATACCTATGCTGACATAGAATATCATAATTACATGTTGTTTTTATCTTTAGACATCATATGATGGTAATAACATTTAAGAAATAGCCTATCTAAAATGCGAATTTACAATTTACAAAAATCCTTCTAAGATTTTTAAGGAATTTAAACTATATTGAAAGGATTTATTTATATAAGTTACAATTAATATCACTAACGGTGTATAAAATGTAAGTTCATATAAATCATATAATGAAAAAGGTTTCTATAGCTCTGCCTAATTTGGAATGACACAGTTGTTTGTAAGATTAATGTTTCTTAATATCATGGAATACTATACTATATCGTTTTATTTATCAATAATGAAAGTGCATTGTAGACTAGTTTGCCAATTAGAGACACATCCCATTATTTGCTGAAGTACTGCAGACATAGAGAGAACATATCCAATATGACTTAATAATTCATTCAACAATTACTGTTCAGCTTAGTCATGCATTAAGTGTACACTTAGAGACAATGCTGTAATGAATTTAATTAACTTTCTCTAATAGTTATTTAGGAATAAATCTTTAATTAAGGAACTTAAAAATACCACAATTTGCAAGTAAATTATATAATATGCTAGTGACATTTTTTTTATAGATGCATTTTAGATTTTTAATTTGCCAGACTATACACAGATTACACAGTAGTGTACTACTGCTGCAGTCCCTTCATAGTCATAACTAATTTAAATTTTTTGCAATCTAACAAGCTGAAGATATTATTAAAAAGCTGAAAGTGTGGTTGTTTATTTAGTAAAACTACTGCTTTGAATTGAAAACTTCTTTTAGAGTTGGATAGCCCATTTATCGAGAAAGGCTATAAAACATGACACTATGATAATAGAAGCCAAACATCAATAAAAACTGTTGCAAAAAGGTGCAAAATTTATTCAGTCAGCTGGTGCTACAAATTATAAGAAATCAGCAATCATAGTGACATAATAACATGAAAATAACATACTATTAGACTTTCATATTTTTATTCAAGCAATATTAATAGTGCTAGTGAAATTTTATGCAAACATAAGCATCCATTTGTGATATTTGCAAATCATTTTATTTATTATTACACATAAATATTACATGTAAATATGCTGTTATAAATATAAAAAACTTATATACATAAAAATAAATTGGTTGTTGTTAGTCCTACCAAATAAAACTCGGGAATTGTTGGATCAACTTGACTAATTTCACAGATGGAGTAGTGGTTTAAGCGGTCATTATTATTATAAAAATGAAGTGTCTGTTTGTTTATTCTATATATCAGGAACTACTACTTCTAATAAAAAAAAATGTTATTGTGTTTGAGAGTAAATTTGATAAGGAAGACTATAACATCACATCAATATTGAGGTTTTTTTGTTGCAATAATCATGTTTGTTAATTTAACTACATGTCCTATAAGAAATAAAAAGTGTTATTTTTTAAGTAAAACTATTTTATATTTTCCATAGATATACTTTAATGTCAAATATATTACGTTTAAATCAAAATTGTCACACGGGAGTAGTCTTCCATTGAAAACTATCATTTCATCGATAAATATTTAAAAAAATGACAGTTTTTTCGGACCAAAACCATAATGTGCGACTTGACGGCCGCTCTGCCCCCGCATTTTAAATCTCTGATATCTTTTAATGATCCAACATCCAATGCACAACCTATCTAATAAATTTAATGGACAAAGCGTAATAGTGTATTGTTTATAGCAGCTTCGTAAATAGCTACATAGCTCATTACTTTTTTGTAAAATGTAAAAGATAAAAACATACATTATTTTGATCTATCTCGTAAGGAATAGCCAGCGTTTGCGCACAAAAAATATTTTTTACGACATCACATTACAAATCTTTGAGTTCTCGATTTTTCTCTACTATAATATGCACTTATTATACATGTAAACCCTCCTCTTGAATCACACTCTCTGTCAATAACAACCGAATTAAAAGCCGTTGCGGACTTTAAAAGTGACTTAATTTTATGCTATGTAAAGAAGAGATACTCATACATCCATTGTTCCTTTAACACTTTAACAATTTTTACTTTGTTATTGCTCAATATAAAAAAAATTGAATAAAAAACTAATTAACCAATTTTAACAATTCAAAAACTAATTTGATCTTAAATATATAGTCTAATTGGTTACTAATTGGTTTATTTAGAAATTATATTTGGACATCTAACTCACAACGCCATCTAGTTTTAAACTAAGCAGAGCTAGTACTATGAAAGTTAGATTGATTGATAGGATACTTATATATTTTTTTTTGTAAATATACACATATTATACATAGCAAAATATGTTATTTTCGACCCGGGAATCGAACCCGAGACCTCAGAACAGCAGTCGCATACGCTACCACTGCGCTACCGAGGCGATACGGTTTAATATCATGATACTATACTCATAGAGTGTCACCACCCCTATTCATCCCGTGGGTGTCGTAAGAGCCGACTAAGGGAAAAAACTACGCAGAACAACAGCACTGCAGAGAGAAGGAAAACATGACGCTAACCCTATACCAACCCGTCTGGCCAGCGTGGTGGGTTAGGCCAAAACCTCCTATCTAAGGAGAGGCCTATGTCCAGCAGTGGACTATTAAAGGCTGTGGATGATGATGATTATACTGACAGAATCACTTTTTGTTTTGATCCGTATTTTAGTTGACTAATTTTAACAAAAAGTGGTTATTACAGCCAAACTATAATATTTAGATATACTCGACTTTTTTGTGCGTATTGTTGAGTCTACAACCACAATGTGTCACAGCGAAGTGTGGCAGGGTACAGCTAGTATTATATAAAAATATCTAACTAAAAATAATTTTAGAAATAGAAAACAAACATACACAGAACTATGTTGCAACTTCAAAGTTAAGGTTCTATATGACAATATTTTGATTGTATCTCATTTCTTTCTGAAATTAATTAAGCAATCAAATATGTACTTATTGTTTCTCTAAAGCTTAGACTTCACATCCTTTTGTTTAATAAATATACAAGCATTACCACATAAGCTTACATTTAGTGTAGTTATTTTCAATAGGTAAAGCTTTAAATGTTTCAATGTAATATAATTATTCAATTCAATATTTAAGGTGAGGAAGAACGGTGCGTTTCATTATGTTGGAGAACTGCCCGTGGGGCTATTGCTGGCCAGTCGGGGTGTTGGCATCGACCTCGTGCCGCATATGGAATCTCCGTGTTGGAATTTCCTCCTGCCACACAATCACACTCTGGTAACACGCATTGGAGACACGGGTGTCCATTTGCGAGATCTGTTGCGCCACTACCTATAGAAAGTCAAGATCTTGGTGCTTTATACTACAGGAACTATTTTTATAATCAACGTAAGTTGTTATAAAAACATTTTATTATGTACTACTACATTATTCATAAGAAGTCATCACTGTTATCGTCATCTGTCATCATACTGCAAATTAAATTCTATGTTTGCAAAATCATTTGAATAGTAAACATGCAACAAAAAAAAAGTATAAAAGATGCACTACAAATTATTACACATTAGTAATGTAAAATAGTTTGTAATGCATGATAATTTATAAAAGGTAATTTTGACTTAGTTTTGTATGCAGAAATTAAATTGAAATGGAATATAAAGCTATTAAGGCAAATTAGATGACATTGTTGAAATACTAAAAAATGTTTTATATATTGCAGCTCATCAAAATTGGTTTGGGATGGATGAAAATCTTGGACCTGTAGCAATTTCTATCAAAAAGGAACGGGTGGAGCTTCGTAGAGGTGGCGGCGACGTATCCGCACCGACGTCACAGCTCGTTTGGCAATACCGACTGATATTGCGCACTGCTGAACTACTTACAATTCGTGGTTCGGTGCTCGAAGACGCACTGCCAGCAGCTAAGCCGAGTAACAACAGCGCCACCTACAACACTAAGGAAGTTTTAGAATATGTGGCTTCTGAATTACAACTTGGCTGTTTACGGTAACTGTTTATTCCGATTTATTAATACTCAACTCAACTTAAATTATTTAAATTTATATTCAAACCACCCACAGCCACTACATTTTGTTACACCTGGATTCTTTTTTTTTTGTTTAATTTTTTTTAATGCAATTTTTGTGACATTAAAAACAATAAAAAAATATTTTTACAGTGACTACTTTGGAAAATTGATACACAGTAATTGATTTACATTGATTACAAGGACATTGATTTACAGTGCTTTGGTCTGATAAATCAATCCTTTATGAGTGTTATTTAGCTAATTTTCTAGATTGTTTTATAGAGTAAATAAAGTTTAAAGTAATAAGACAAACTGTTAGCAGAAACCATTTTAGGCTTTATTATTTGCCTTTATTAAGCCTTCTCTTCTGTTAAATTTCAGACTCGGTGTGGGCAATGGTGGGGCTGAAGAACAACTTTTACGCTTAGACGAACAATGTGTTACCAGACATTATAAAGTAGGAGTTATGTACTGTAAAAGTGGTCAGTCAACAGAGGAAGAAATGTACAATAATCAGGAAGCTGGGCCTGCATTTGTAGAATTCTTACAAATGCTGGGCCAGACAGTAAGATTAAAGGATTTTGATAAATATAAGGCTGGTCTGGACAACAGAACTGATTCAACTGGTCTCTATTCTGTTTTTACAACATACCAAGGCTGCGATATTATGTTTCATGTATCAACTATGCTTCCATATACGCCAAATAATAGACAACAATTATTGAGGAAACGACATATAGGCAACGATATTGTAACCATTGTCTTCCAAGAACCGGGTGCAGCTCCGTTCACTCCGCGCAACATTCGTTCGCAGTTCCAACATGTTTTTGTTGTAGTTAGAGCTATCGATCCTTGCACAGAGAATACCCACTATAGTATAGCTGTAAGTCGTGCTAAAGAAGTGCCTTTATTTGGACCTCCCATTAAGGAGGGTGCCATTTATCCTAAAGGAGAAGCATTCACTGATCTACTATTAAGTAAAGTGAGTACCATTCACTTTTGTTGTTATGAAAATAAAATTAGTGACTTATAAATTGCCTGTCTTACCGAAAGATAACAATGTACATTTCTTGCTAGCAACATAAATTCGGTAGACATCATTTGGTCCATCATTTTTTTATCCAAAAACTGTCATTTTTTTAAATAAATATATTTAAAAAATAAGATACTTTCTAATGGTTAAAATAAATTGTAGAGTTTGTTCGGTTTTTATTTGCTTTACCGGTTAGAGTCGTACATAACATAATGTTAAAAGGAACTAATTAGATTCGACAATCTAATACTGTGTTATTATTAATTAAGGATAAGTGTAGTAAAGCGTAATATATGATTACTTTTCAGGTAATAAATGGCGAAAATGCTGCAATTCAATCACCAAAGTTTAGTACAATGGCAACGCGTACGCGTCAAGAGTACCTGAAAGATTTAGCTAAGAATTATGTTACTGCTACGACTGTAGAATCCGGACAGAAATTTTGTATGCAAATATAATATCTAGTAGATTTTATTTCTGTGGTATTTCAGCACGAGCTGACTAGTTATTTTAATGTTTCAGCGATATTCTCGCATCTGCTTATGAAGAGTGGCAACAATTCAGCTAATAACACATTGATACCGCGTATTGACAATTGCACTAATGACGTATTAGTTGGGGGCGCATTGTGCTTTCATGTGAGTTTACTAAACTATTATTTAAACTTCTCGGTTGATGCATGCATGGTATGTGTACATTGTATCCATTTAAATAGTACTTACAATTTAAATAAATATCTTGTCACTAACACTTAAGATAACCTACTCTTTATACAGTATAAGACACTACCTGCTTTTTCTGTCCTGGTCCACATCTGACCATTTTCATTAATTGCCACAACACTCTTTATCTAGTTACTGATAATGACTTTGGGGTGACTATTATTTTTGTTTTAAATTATTATTATTTTTTGTTTTTGTGTTTTCTATGTATAATATGTATGTATTTGGTAAAAAAAGTATATAAGTAGTCTATCAGTCAATCTATCTGTCATGAGTTGTTGTTCTTCAGCTCTGCTTAGTTTGAAACTAGATGGCGTTGTGTGTCAAATGTCCGATTTTTTTTTTAAGGTAACCAACATCTAAAGTATGGTAACCTAAAAGATGGTTTAAATTTGATGTTATGGTTTTTATCATAGATAAGGTAGCCTAGGGAGTTGTCTAGGTCGATTTACGTAATTGATGGTTTCAAAAGTTCCCCATACGGTAAAGATAGCTCCGATTCATTTTAAGATCAAACAATCTGTCTATTGTCGTTAAATTACCTATGAAAAATGTTTGCATTGCAGGTTCAAGTACAGGATGAAGGCGCGGGTGGTTTGCTGATAGACTGCATTATAGGCATATCTGCAGACACCGTCGTGTTTATCGAAGACAACACCCGTCAAATTATTCTGGTTCTACCTACAAATTCTTTATTAGGTAACATATTTATGAGTTGTTATAAAACAGCAAGTAGGTTTTCATGAAAACGTGTAATGTACACATTGCTTTTGTTTTAATTGACACTGAAAATTTCTCTAGTGAAACTCATTATCAACTCAAAATATAGTTTATTTTTATCATTAATCATCAATGAATAATGATAAAAATAAGATAGAAGCCTGCGAACGACCCCGGAGGCTTCTGTGAAGGAGCTCGCTTAGCTCATTTAGCCAACTTTACCTACACGTATAAAGAACCGTTTTAGAGTCTAAATAAGGAAATTGATGAATCCTATTAATATTTAATTAATATTGGGGGGGGGGGGGGGGGCTGCTAAATAGCATTGAATGTGAACGCACGTTAACGGCAAAAATCAGGTTAAAATCAGTCGCCTGCGAGCACATCAACGATGCTCTCATTAACCACTCCCGGTTAGTATCATTGAAAAGTGTTTGCAAACGAGTAAAGTTTGTTGGGGCAGGGTGGGTGGTGAGCGGCGGCTGGACGCGCGTGTACTACCACCGCGGCGAGAGCGTGCGCGTGCGCGGCGGGGGCGACGCGCTGCAGCGCCGCCTCGCCGCCGTGGCGCCGCACCACGCGCACGCGCTGCACGAGATCACGCTGGAGCGGGGCGCCGCGCACCAACTCGGTAATGTCACATGCTATCTTTTAATACTTTTCACCTCTTTTAAAATGTTACACTACTCGAATATCCTGTTCGATGTGGAGATTAGTCAGAGGTCCAATGATAGTTTACTAATTATTCCGCATAAATTAACTGTAGCGATATAACGCAAACGTTAGAGGAAACCGTTGTAGGAATACACCTCGCAGAACTTAATTTTAATCGAATCTATGATGTAATGAAGAAAGGGCAGGACAGAAATACTCGAAACCGATGGATTTGTATGAAAGGTTTATTTTGTTGGTCTAGTGGTTAATGACCCTGACTGCCGGAAGTCATCGGTTCGATTTCCATCCATGGCAAATAATTGTGTGATGAGCACGGTGATTTGTTCTGTGTCTGGGTGTAATTTATATATAATATGTATGTGTTTAGAAATATGCTTATCAGAATTCTGGTTACCATATCACAGGCTCTGCCATTCATCATTATTAATCTGGGAAAACACAGTAAACGTATGTAATTACTATAATCCTATAAACTAGGAGAACTCGAGTAAGGTAAGATGTCGAAAGCCTCAGAAAAATACAGACAAGACGGATTTGTGTTTTCTGAGACTTTCAAAATCTTGAGGCGAAAATGCAGTCAGTACAGGACATCGATGGAATGTGCGTGCGCAGGTTTCCACGTGCAGCCGGACGGGCTGGTGACGCAGGTGGAGTCGGGCGGGTGCGCGTGGCGCGCGGGGGTGAAGGCGGGCGCGCGACTGCTCGAGGTGTGCCGCGCCGCCGTCGTGGCGCTGTGCCACGATCAGCTCGTCGACCTACTCAAAACCTCCGACCCCGTCACGGTTAGACTCGCTTTCTAAACGTTGGGTCGGACAGTGCGACAAGCGGGACGGTGACGCGACAAGATCGAATTGTATATTAGTCTCGCTCGGCGCTCCGGTAGCGGTCGGGTATCTCATACGTTACGACTGCTCGGGTCCCGTCACCGTCCCGCCCAATGCGCTATCTGATCCGACCTTAATTACGATCCGCTAATTATTTAAGTTCAACTTCTTAGATGATTAGATAATCAATAGTGTACGAAAAGAAGGTTGAAAAGAAAATTTAAGACATGCGTAACGTTAAGGCACATTTTCTTACATAAAAAATATATAAGATGGAATGAATTAGTATCAGGCGGTTGTATTAAATTTTGAAAACAGTTATTTCTCTATGAAAATACATTTGGCTTATCTCTTATTATTCAAGAATGGTCTCGATGAACACTTTGGGTGAAATCATAGGTTGTGACTATAAATAGCATCATTAAAATAATCCCAACACAAAAAAAAACAACAACTGCTCATTGAGACTGTTCTAATAAGTCCAAACATGGTAAATATGCTGTAATTTTCTGATTAGTTGGCTATCCCGCAGACTACTTGATGCAGTAGGAAGTTCCAGGTTACCATGTCATGGAAATACCATCAAAGTAATAGTATACTTGACTTTGACTGCACGGATGGCGTAGTGGCTTAAGTGGTCGCCACGCCGCTTACCACTACGCTGAGTGTTGTGGGTTCGATCCCCACATGGGACGACGCTTTGTGAGATCCACAAATGGTTTTTCTGAGTCTGGGTGTTCTTTGTGTCCGTTTCATGTAAGTTTGTTAAGTCCCCCGCGGCACAGGATTTATTCCTAATGCGAGAGCTGTCTTTAAAAAAAAAACAGATCAATCGTACCTGTAGATTTTAGTGAAATCCCTTCATCGCCTAGAAAGTGAGCTGATTATCTTCAAAAATTATAGCTAAGTACCATCTCGATCACATCGGCTTTCGAACAAAAACATCCTCATGGAAATCTATTCGGGAGCCATGATGATCAGACAGATACATAGGATAAACTTACATTACCCCTCGTTTTCCGTCGGTGGTCAAAACTAGTATTCGTCAACTACAAACATACTAGTTAACATTTATAAATTTTCAGTAACAGCAACTGATTCAACGAATGTTTAGTACGTATGAATTGACCGCTGCGTACTCAATTATTCTTACTCTATCATTTTAAGAGTACTCGTCAATTTGGTCCCTATATGAATATTTATTTGAGGAAGGAAATGTTTAGGTGACCGTGACGTTCGCGGTAAGCCCGAAGTGCCCTTGCGACAGCACGCCGGACGAATGGGCGCCCTTAGCTCGTGCTGACGCTCAGCAGCCGGGGCGCCCTCGACGCGCCTATGAGCGAGGACACTCGCCGCCACGATCGGACAGCTCGGGATATGGTACAGGTAAAATTGGTTTTGGCAATTTTAGTCGAAGGGATATACCTAGTGGGATTTGCTGTGATCATAAAACTATTAATCGAATCGATTGTGACTTATCGAAACGATATAATGATATTACACACTCTCTTCCACTTACATTGATAAAGTTGTATGATATGTTGGACTGTTCTGGTAATTTATTTCAGATCAACGATTGCCAGAAGGCCAATTCTCGTAATAAAAGTTCGGTCTTAATTCAGTTCCGATCAACTTTCGATCTCACAACTGTCATAAAAGGTATTTTCGTTGTAAAGTATTACTAAGGGTCCGTATTTGAAAAGATGTCTCAGTCGTGATTTTAGTATTGAACGTCACTTAAAACGAAATTCACCGATCTTTACTCGAGTGAACGATAACTTATTTTAGAACATTGTTTATGTCGAAATCTTTACTCATGTATAGATTTTGACAGATATGATCTTTGTTTACGTCAGATAGACTGAGACTAGTCTCAAGCGGTGATTTCTAGGACATTTTAGGGGAAATGAATGTTTAGGGGAAAAGATTTACGAGTACTTCACTTCATTTACGAAAGAATGACTTGTCATTCATAATCAATTAACTTTAATTTACCTTAATTGATATTAAATTCACCTTTACCTTAATTGATATTAAATTCACCTTTTACACACATAATACTCGTTAAATTAAAATCACTACAAATTGTTGGTTTATGTTAAAGGTATAATATTATTGTAGTAATATTAAAATAAAAATATTGTTTGACAATTCAACATGACAAGTGTTGATAAATAACTTGAACGTTCTGTTATAGCTGATAACTAGACACTTTTATTTTATTATTCATTATATTTTATTTTGTACAAACAAGCTTGTAATAAATTTACATTGCTAGTGTACCAAACACTAGCAAATAGTATACTATATACAAATTCATAGAAATCATCTTAGTAAAAGTTTATTTTTTTATAATTAGCTGCGTAATACGGAATAATAATTTCAATCAAGCGAAAACGTTTTTTAGAACAGACTAAGTTCAAATCAATACCTGAAAGTAGTTTCAACTGAGTAAAACTTAAAACGCGTTCTATAATAAGATCGATACTAGTTTTAATATGCACTTAAAACTAGTATCAGGCAATCATAGTTCAACCGTTACTTGAGACGTCTTTTAAAATACGGGACCTAAACTAGCTGATGCAATTTTCGGTTACTATACGACATCATCACATTAAAGTCAACGTTAGATGTCTAATACTTTACTACGAAAATATATTTTAAGGTTTCCTACTAAGGTTAACTTTAATATTAAACGAAAATGATAACTGGCAAACTTAAATAACGGTAACGACTTCAATAGCAGGTTTAGTCGATTTGTAAATCGGTTATCAGGAGTAGTTTATAGGTGTGTGTTGTCTCGCAGGCGGGTCATCCCGCAGCGAGCGGCGGTCGCCGGACGCGCTGCGGCGGCGCTCGCACGACGACGCCGCGTCGCCGCGCCACGCACGACACAAGCGCATCTCCGCCAACACCTCCTCGCTCACGGTAACTGCACTAACTTATTTCGTGTATGGTAAACGACACCACTGGGATGTAGTTTATCGTTTTTTTGTTAACGAGGCCACCACTAACTAGTAATGTATATTGTATATGTTCATTTTAAATGATAATGTTAAAATTGGTCGAGTTCACAGGGATTCGTAACACACAATAATTGTATCCTTTAAAACAAAAATAACTAAATTAATTTATAAAACGTTATAAAACATTACTTTCTTTCACTGTTTGGTCATGGTCGTGATATTACGAATGAAAACTAATTGATATCGATAAATGCATAAGTTTTGTGTTAAAACTTCATTACAGTGGTGTCGTGAACTAAAAAAAAGTGGTGTAATTCAGTGTTGTCGTTTACAATACACGGCTTACTTACCACAACTAGCCAAATATTTCTACTTGATCTCTTTCCACCTGCACTAGAAGCGATAATCGTTAAAAAAGTTATGGAACGTCTTTGAGTTAAAACCTTCTACAGAATATTACTACGTATGAACCGAAATATATATTTTTATAATTATGATACGATACTCAACTATAAAGGCTAGATGTAAATATGATAAAAATTAGAATACACAAAAAACGAAATAAACGAGTATTTAATATTAGCTTTCCATTACTGAAAGAATTTTTAAATTCGGTTTAGAAAGCGGAACAAACAAACAAACTCACTTTCACATTCATAATAATATAAGTATGGATGTTTATCAGCAGTCTAATTACAATAGCACGGGCTCTGCCTAGTTTTGAATCAGATTCCGTGTGTGAGATGTGTGAAGTTATTATTATTGTATGTTATTATTATTTATTGATTAAATAGAAATCATCACGCAGCACGCATTGTCATAGTGGAAAGGCAAATCGAGTATAATGCTGTACCTAATTGTCATTTGGTTACATTAGTACCTTCTAATGTCCGCTTTTAATATTATTTATTTCAATAAAAATAAACTTCGTCCTATTAGACTTAAGAAATTCCTATTTTTTAATTGTGAGAAGTATGTAATAACCATGTTTGTTGTGCAGGAGGACTTGATTCGTATGATGGACGCTGAGATGGGGGAGGGCGTGCGAAATTCGAGTAGTACGGGCGGAGCGGCTCCCCTGCCTCTACCGGACGCAGCTGCACTTGACTGGGCAGCGCTTGTGCATACGGCCACCAGGGCTATGTTGCAGGTAAATACCAACGACATCTTATATGGAGCGTGGACACAAACTTGCCTGGTCAATATCCAGTATTAATGCTAAACTATCAAAAAATGAGCTGTATGTATTATTTATCGTGAAAAACAACTTTTAATAATAATGATTAAAACTAGTGCTTTCATCACAACTATGGAATATGAATACTGTTATTATTTTTGGGCAGTTAATTTGTATTATTAATTTAACTAATATGTGGATGAAATCGAATGTTAATTTTAAGTTGCTTGCTAATTACATGCTATATATTATGTACTTTAAATTATCTTCTTTTGCGGATCAGATTTGCGAGGAGCATCCATATCCATCTATGGAAAACTCGGATCCATCTTTAGAAACTCTGCCAAACGAACCCTCTACGGAGTCCTGGAATGACGTTTCCGTGGTAAGATTAAATGAACTAATGAAAATGTACGATCCACAGATCGACACAAACCGCGCTATATCACGTTCCGCGCGGTCAGCGATTTAACTCGATTAACGTTATTTTATTATAACATTAAAACAGTGCATTTTCGGTCACCATTCCGTTAGGTTGTACTCACACCATCTAACCATACCATTGTAGATTTAGTTAAGTTAATATAAACCAGGTTGGCTTAACTCTATCTGTTATTTTCCGTGTACGGTAACCATAAACCGTACAGAAAATTATGTAATACCTGAAGACCAATTCTCGTAATACAAGTTCAGTCATATTTCAGTTCCGATCAACTTTCGATTTCACAACTGGCATAAAAGGTATTTTCGTAGTAAAGTATTACTAAGACTAGCAGATTACCGACTCCATTTGCGGTTGCAATACTATATTTTGGTTGGATGTTTAATACTTTACTACAAAAATACCTTATGGCATCGTGTGATTTGTCTCAGGTTATTATTATAAAAACTGAGACACCTCACACGATGCCGTCTAGTCACAAACAAGACAGCGGTCCATCGCACGCATCTCGGTTTTGTTATCAGCTGCAGTTCAGAAACATTTTTTTTTTATATCCGCAGTTGGTTGCTATAGTAAGATTTGATTCTTTTTTGTAATTGGAAGTGCAACTAAATTAAATATGGCCATTCGACGTAATATATTTGTAATACATCTTCGAAAACGAAACGTGTATTCTGGGGGGTATCGAAAGAGAAATAGTGATCGCCAAGTAAGTACGGTCGATCACTAAAAACATCGAACAATTCAGTGTTTTGTAGACTTATACCAGGAATCTCTCAATTAAAAATCAGTAGAATCAAATTTAAATTCCTCCCCTCAGTTCTCTGCGACAAAGCGATAGCGTATGATATCGGACCGTGTCGCACACGTATAAGCGATTTTACTTCCTGATTATGGCACAAGTATGTTCGTAGACAAAGGAAGTGAGCGGCAACACACCTCAGGCGGGCGGCGCGGAGAGCTGCGGGGCGGCGGGGGGCGGCGCGTGCGCGTGCGCGTGCGGGCTGGCCGCCAAGGTCGCCGCGCTCGAGGCCGACGCCGCCACCGAGCAGCGCCAGCGACATCAGCTCGAGGAGGAGGTTCGTCCTACGTCGTCGTCATTCTTTCACTATTACAGTATACCTACATATCTCATCCGACATACCTAATGTTTTCTATCTGAGTAAAGTTTAAATGTATAAACTTGATATAATACTTCCGCACGTTTAGAATAGTACGTATAATAAACGAATGGTACGTTGAGAGCTAGGAGTTTCCTCTAACGGCCGTTTTGATTCACCGGTAGGAAACCTCTCTCGAGCCGACTCACCGGTGGGCACAGATAATCGAGTCCGAGATAGGCCTGTGCGACTAGTTTGGACACCAAAAATCAGGTTCGGCATCAACCTTCCAGGGAAACTGTGCAAGTGAAAACCGGTTTCATGACTAACACAGAACCATTAAAGTCGTCGTCGACGGTGTCTCCACCTCCGCCTCCGAGTCTGTCCACGCTGGTATACCACAAAGATGTGTGTCACCCCTGCAATTATTACTAAACACAAGTTCAGCTTCACTTAGCATTCTCTATAGCTTGTATTATCGAGAATGCTCCAAGAAGAAACGTTCGGATTTCAACTGGTCATGCAATATTCCGCTATCATTCAACGCAACAAAACTTACATCCTAATGAAGTTGGACATTTAAATAATTGTTACTCTACCACTGTGCGCTTTTAGAGAAACTTTTTTTCTGATTATCTCCTTCGTTCTCCTAACTATCCTGTATAATAATTTGGCGCCTTCGGTATTTCTGAACCGATACGAAAATCCTTCAAGTCTCTCAGTATTCCAGTATAGCGTTGGTAGTCACCGTCGGGTGGCTACTCTGTACTTTTGTCCTTGTTTGTGTAGAATGTCCGTCCAAAGAACGAGGCAATTATCTTTTTCCCTTGATACTTGACTTCTGCCCCTCTTTACTTTTGTCGGCAAACCTTCGAATAGAAACATTCATTGTGCAGATTGTCTTTTGGTTTCGGGTTCGTAACAATATATCCAGCTTTCATTTACCTGTGACGATGTCATACGAGGCATGCTTTTTAAGCTTTTGCGTTTGAAGACTTTTCTTAATTTTAGGAAATGTAAAGAAATCGTTAGAGCTTAGGTCAGGATTGTATGGGGGATGGTCAAGAATTTCTACTTTTTCCTGCTTCAAATACTCAATCGTTTGACGAGCGCTGTGTGAGCTTGCGTTGTCGTGGTGCAGGATGATCCGTCGCTTTGAGTTAGATTTTCGAAGTTCGGCGATGACTTGTGGTAAACAACCGTTAACCGTTCTACGATCTTCAAGTGCAATAGTCGCAACATGGCGGGTTTTCTCCACGAACGTGGCCACCATCTTCTTTGAAGTGCTTCGAGAACGAACAACTTTAGTCGGCTTTGGCTCGTCTTGAAAGAACCAGATTGTAGATTGTTGTTTGGAATCAGGATCGTAGGCATAGATCCAAGATTCGTCACCACTGATGATGTCGTAGACGTGATTTGACTCTCCTCGGTTGAACCTTTTCTATTTTTTAGAGTTTTCTTACACCATCTGACGCGGGCCGCCTTGTGATCGTCGGAAAGCAGATGCGGTATCCAACTTCATACTAGCTTTCTCACACCAAGCGCTTCATGCAAGATCTTCTGAATAGTTGTCCCTGAGATGCCTAATAGAGCCTCTATCTCTCGATACGTCACATGACGATCTTCGAGAATTAGATGTCTTAGAGATTAGATGTGAAGGCGGATTTTGGGCGTCCTTCGCGAGATTTGTCACTAACACTAGTATGTCCACGTTGGAATTCTAAATACCAGCGTTCGACAGTCCGCAAACAGGGGGCTTCATCACTGAACACAGATGTTAGCCCTTCAAAACACTGAAGCCGTGCCAGGCCTCTTCTAAAGTTGTAGAAAATTATTGCACGAACATTTTCCTTAGAAAGATTCATTTTCGTACGTAACCTGACAGCTGTCCAATCGATGCTGTGACTAACCAATAGCATTAATCCTAATACTTTCAACTGTTTTGAGATTCAAAATTTATTTGAATGTAGAACAGTTCCAAATTCAAAATTGCCGGCAAATATAGAAACGACAGAACTTAAAAAGCATGTCTAGTATATAGCATACGAGTCACTTCCGCCATACTTTTCAAGAATTGAGCGGCACCAATCTTAATGACGGCGTTTTTGATCTTCTGTCAAATTATGAAGTATCAATCCAGTACAAAACTTTCTGACGCCTAAATGTTCATGGAAGACTCTTTGAACTTGACTCATACCAAGCTTAAAGATGCCCGAATCTACAGCTCATATTTCACCCTTTTGTCAGCTTCTATCATTAGCCGCACAGCACTCACATTATCTTCAGTAGTCGAAGAAGGACGTTCTTCTCGAGAATCATAAGAGAGTTTGTTTCGACCACGTTTTAGAACTCTTTAAACAGATGGGGCTTCGTTATAAAATGCCAGTCATAGTCTATCGTCACATTATTGATAAATAAGACTGTAACGAAAGTTGTAAAGAAAATTTTCTCTAGTCAAATTCATTTCGTGCACGATAGACACATTTTAAATAGAAAATTTGTAAAAACCAATAACATGAAACATCTACAGGTTCTCAAAGAGTTCCTAATTCGAAATGTAAATAAATTTTTCATCGCCTGCTTTTGTTACTGGCCTATTCTAAAAACTTTCAGTGTGACCCACGTACATTACTAAATACATGCATATTACAAATCAACCACAGAACAAAATGTTCGTGCTCAATTAGTTGTCCCGGGTGAAGTGGGTCAATCCAGCCACCTCTGGTTTAGCGTTTAAGATCACTAAACACCTGAAAACAGTTCTTACGCGTCAATCAAATGAGTTCCTAAAGAAGGAAACCGACGGATGCAAACCGTCGCTTTCCTTCTTTACTTAACCTGTAAATTTCAAGATATTCCCAATTTGCCAATGTTTAATTGACAAAAGGCTCGCCTTTAATATCTAACGATCAGAATAATTGATGCGTATATGTAAGTAAATAAATACGAGTGATCCATTGATGGCTGCAGGTGCGGCGCCTGCGGCGTCACAACGCGCGCCTGCGCGAGGAGTCGGCGCGCGCCGTGTGGCAGCTGCGCCACTTCACGCAGTGGCTCAAGAGAACCGTCGACCGACAGTGACTGCCTCCTCTCGCCCTCTCGCCCTCACGTCCTGACGCTACACCCAAAATACAACGTCTGCAGACACGACAATTAATACTTATGTTATACTCATGCTGTCGACTAAATGTTTTCTTGGGGTCATGCAAATATCACTTGGATTAGGAGTAGGATATTTCCTATCGAAAGATAATTTATTATCTCATTGATACCAGTAGTTGTAACATTTTTCCACGACGTTATCACACATTATACGCAAGGGTGGAGCGTCAATGTATAAAGAAAAAATATCAAAAAATCTTCTTTATCTAAAACATACTAAATGTCTGTAATGTATATCTTTAAATTAGTCCACAATGGTGTACAAATCAAAATTCTGTTATACTTTAGCGTGCAAACAATACTAAAAAACTCATGGTATAAACTAATATTGATTTACTTAGGCAAATAAAACATTTTAAACATGTTATGCAAAGCTAAAATATAAAAAAATCTTAGGATATAAATTCTAATGCTATTCAAAATTGGATATATGTTAAAAAAATGACGTTCCCCCTTAAGGAATATAATATATAGCATCTAATTTTACGCACTAGCGACTATGAGGAAATAAGCAAATGTGCGACTATTTATAACGGTGTAGGAGTTTTTCAAAAATACTGCAATATATCAAACTCTGTGCCCATACCGATTCACAATGTTGATCTACAAGGAGCTCACGATCACTAGCCTTGCATTCAACTATGGTAGCTATATCAAATGCATACTTCGATTAGTTAATAAAAAACATACTTACTAAATAGTATATTAATTGTAATATTAAAACATGCGCTATGTCTTATGAATTTTGTGCCTTTTCTGTGCTTCTTGAGAAGCGTTTGTTTTTGGCGTAATTTTTACGTAATAAATATGTTGGTGTTAGTGTATTATCATATATTTATAGATTAGTTTGTTATATATATATACATATATATAATACACCATTGTACTGTGTGAGGTTGCTGAGTCACCCATATTGAAGTTTTTAGATACACTTTTACATAAATATAAACGTTATCGTTATTGTAACTGTTGTGTAAAAAAATGAAGAAGTAAAACGTTAATGTTTATTTCTTATTGTATGTTTAATATGTATTGATAAAACGTAGGCTTTAATTTATTGTTTATTATTGACACACGTATTTAATCATTACCTTAAGACTAGTTATAAGGCAACATAGGTTGTAACTTAAACACCAATTAACATAGGACAAAGTGCTGAGTGGGCGTCTTTTTAAAAATGGCTGCAATTTTCATACAGTCACATTATTTATAACCCACTAGCATCTGACTCTGTAGTTAAGTAATTTACGTTGCAGTTACTCGTATGGCGTCTGCTCTCAAACTAATTACTCATACTTTAAGAGAATAAAATCTTCTCTTGTTTTTAATTTTCTTCATTATTCGTATTCGTTGTCATAAAGTAGTTGTTAAATGAACATCAACAAAATGTAGTCTTAGGCCTTTAGCTTTGTAATAGCTGTTCTTACTATTGAGAAGTGTTGTCTTGTGTACTACCGGAAAAGAAAATTCCCACAATTCCCCACTTTGAAATTCAGTTTTTGAAGGTCCTAACGGATTTATGTCACCGCATGAAATACACGGTTTAGAGTTAGAAATTAGATGGTGTTAGTAAAAAAAAAATATCACGCTAAAATATAAAGCTAGTGATAGACTGGATATCCGTGTCCACCGATATTCGCCACCTAATCCGAATCCTAACCTTGATTTGTGAACATATTGCATAGATGAAGGAAATAAATAACACAATTATTATTGTTGGTTGCTTGGGCTTACACCTATTATTAAATATAATGTTTATTTTGACGTCTGGAATTATACCTTAGAAGATTTGATTTGATAGTTTGTAGTTATGTTACAACGACTTAAATGAATATTGAAGGTGATTAAAAATTAAAGTAATTATTTCAAATTTTTAAAATAAAGTGTTGGCCACATTTTAAATACGCTCTAAAAGTTTTAATAAGTATTATAAAGAGACAACTTGCGTTATAAAATAACTGTAGTAGTTTAACTATAATTATAAACATACTTGAAACCTGCCAAATATTAATACAATAAGTAAAACATGCATAGAGACAATTACTATTCGTTTAAACATTTACGTCATTTGAAAATAAATACCTACATAAAATTAAAAGTTTGGTAAGACCCAATAAGTGCAAAATACTCAAAGAGAAATCTCATCAAAAATTAACGTAGGAGTATAACCTTAGTACACCTAATAGGAACCGGGTTTATGTTCGTAACGTTCCAAAATGTTAGTGTTAACATTGTACTCTGATCGACCATTCGGCTAACGGCGAAGCTTTGAAAACGGATCAATGTTTGAATTTATTATTGTTACGACCTACTTTGTACAGCTAAGTGCAAAAAAGATTGTTTCAGTGTAAAGTATATTGTTTTGTAAAAGCACACTGTCAAGCACAAGCTGACTTGGTATTGTCTCTGCATCCTTATCTTTTTAAATGACTTCAAAATAAGACTCGGACCCGGTTACTCGAAGCTGTTTTGTTTGAAGAGTTGTATTGTCTAGTTTTTATATCATCCTGGATGATGAATCCTGGGAAACCTAATGGAATTCCTCAAAAATTAGCGAGTAGCGGATTGAAGTTTTTTTATAGTAATCCGTATTTGCTATCTCAAAGCATGCCTGTAAGGCTGAATTTAATGATGAACACCGCATATGGCAGTTAATAGAATAATTATTAATGAAATTATACTTTTTCATGATTGTAAAAGCCATTAATAAATGGTCGATATAATTATTGTGTGTCAAACTCACACTTTGATTCAATCGTAACATGGATGTACCTGCCATAAAATCTTTGAAAGTAATTTGTGCTTATTGGATTTCACCACCATATTTTTTACACTAGTGGGACATAGACATGTGAACGCAGGCTATGCACACATCTCTACAACCCAATACGTACGTACATATTAAAACTGATTCAATTTGTATACCATTTTTTTTTTAAATTTATAAATACCACTTCAACTTATTTTTGTAAATACGAATCTCATTATTAGTTATAATCACCAGCAAAGCTTTATTAGTTTAGGTTAAAATAGACTTAGTCGTACAAGTTATCAACCGAGAGACTTTGTAGCGTAAACCAAGTGATGCTTAATTAAAATAATAACTCCATACGTTGCAAGAAATGAAAAAGAAACACTTTTTTTCGGAAGTTTAACTCATTTCACGGTTTCCTTTCCATACTGCCTTATTTTAAAACCAGAAAAGTCGCCACTTTTCTTTTTCATTTTTCGCCTTTCTCTTTAAGTCATCGTCAAAATATGGTAACTTTAGAGTGAAAAATTGTATAAATTGTTGTTTAGTCTTCCGTCAGTGTTTTATTCTTATAACAGCAAAAGTTTTTTAAGAAATTACGACTGCATCAATATTCAAATTAAAACTGGCTTAAGCAAGGTTGTGTAAACTAAATTTAATAAATTTGGAGTGAGAATAACTTGTTATGTTTATCTTTGCCGTAATTATATTGTTTCCATAATAAAGGATAACAAGATTGAAAAAAAATTGGTTTTAAAAGTGGGATATTTGTATTTATTCCAGAAATCCCCATTGATATATCCTCAACAGTGTGGTCTACTAGAAAAATTCATAATCTCCATTGGTGGGGATATATCAGTGGGGACTTCTGGAATAAATCATCAACATTTCGATGCATATTTCTTTTAAATTATAACAATTCAAAATTAAAGGTACTAACACCACTTTATTTTTTTTTCTATCTCAAGAGACTAGAGATAAATTTCATGTTTTTCTTTTTATATAAAATTGAACTTGTTATGTAGATATTGCGCTTGTTCATAGAAATGTGATTTGTTTGTGTCTGAAAATAGCGGTGGACAGAGTACATAGGAGCTTAAATACAGTAGAGATAACGAAGTTTCTCTTTCTGTTATTAAAGTTAATTAATTGCTTTCTCGAGAGAGAAGAAGACATACCGCTAAAATAACCATCGTAATATATTTAAAAAAAACTGTCCCACCATGATGTTAGCAGTAGCATAAAACTGCTGTATTTATTGCTGTTTAGACCTCATGAAATAACTTTTATCATTTAAAATATCTATAAATCTAGTTCCATTCTATTTCCAGAATCACAGGAGAACAGAATGTTCAGAGTTTACGAAAGTCAAATTTATTTTTACCTATTATCTATATATACCCTTTGACATCAAAGGCTTCAACGATAGCAGTAACTTAATTACGCTTTTAATATTTCGTCGACGATAATGTTATTTTACATGTCCGGAGTTCGATATCTTATCGATCGTGAGGAACCGATTTGCAAGATACTATAAGCTTGTGCGAGAGCCCTAACGTGACGTGCAAAATTATGAAAACAGTCAATGCAATATTGTTGTTCTCTGAATACATAATATATAAATTATACATTCTTTGATATGAAAATTACTAAGTTTCCTTGTTAGCCTTTCAACCAAATAAAGTACTTGTGTTAGGAATGGGTATATATGCATTTATTATCCTGCACTAGTCACTTCCTTTGATAATGATTTGAGGTTAGATATTGTTAGTGCATCTCCACCTTTATTAATAAAATAAAACCTACCTGACTCGGACTATGTAGGTATTAGGACATATTGTACAATGAAGCAATTCAAAAATTGTTTCGATTACTTTTCTTTAATATTTACGGTTATAGCGTCTTGATGATATTCTATTTGACAACATAAAAATATTCTCAAAATTATGGCCATAGAAAAGCATAATTTACTTTATTTTACTGTAATGGGTATAAAGTTTTAAACAAATTTAGCGAAATATATAATTTTGTTAATTGTATCGCGGGCTCGAACGTCCTGTGATTGGACACAAATCTGTGACGACACCGCAATACTCACGAATGTCTAAAGTGAACCATAGATTAAAATATATGAAGTAAACAAAACAAACAATCTCAATTTGTGGAT